GAGACGATAAACTACGACGTTCACATAAACTTTCACAATTCTGGTGGAATTTTTTAGTAATTCAATGATCATTTTACAATTGTCAACTTTTTTTTAGTTTTCTGAATTTTTGAAGCGGACACTGCATGTTTTATAACATGTACCCATCCGATCATACGCGTTTTTTCCCTCGTGCATCCGTTATCCGTAGAATGTGATCTGTTCGTCCGTATCCGCCTTTTATCGTTATTCTGTCCTTAAGGCTAGTTTCCACTCAGGAAAATTATCCGTGGATTGGAACGGACAAGAAAATTTTTCTTTGTCTTGTGAGCTCTGGGTTGGAACTAATGACTTTAACACAAAGAAAAATGGTTCTTGTCCGTTCCAATCCACGGATAATTTTCCTGAGTGGAAACTAGCCCTAACACCTTATTAATCCTTCGTAAACATTAAGAACTTCGTCAAAATATGTCTGTCAGTCTGTCATGTGTATATAAAGTTTGTTCACTTATCCCTGACATAATTATAAGTTCTGGGAAATGGTTTTGCTTCTGCAATATTACTAAAAGAGCCAATATTACATCAAGCACAGTTAATAAATAATCTTATTTTATTAACTGTGGTTCAAGATAGGGTCAGCAATCAATAAACAGAAAGGCACTGTATTGGTCCAGTATATTGGCTGACATCTTACATAATTCCAGATGTTGCGTCCAACCAATGAAATTCCTTGTCGCATCATTTCTCCAGACCTATCTGTCACCGCCTACCCTGCGAACGGGAATACTCTTACACAAGATTGCGCTAGACTACGACATAGGCTAGATTGCGCAAGCTACGGAAGTATTTAATACTTTTCGAGATGGACTGTATGTGGAAACCAAACTACTGTATTGACATGATCCATGAAACAAACCTTGAAGTGAACTGATTTGTTCAGCGATTAAACATGCAAGATTTACGAGTGTGAAATGAACCTCTGCGCAAATGACCAAAATATCAGTGATTTCATTTGGTAAGTCGATTAAATTATAAATAAATAAGACATTTTTCGTTGAAAGATCGGCTGTTATACTTAAAATCTGTACATGTATACTTCATTGTACTTGTGTCTGCTGAAGCATTATCGATTTCTTAATTCTTATATCTTATGATAAATTATTATTTAGCCATTAAGCGTTCCTTCTACCACGCTGAGACAAATGGCTTTACTTTCACATTCGTGCGAACGTAAAGCCAAACAGATGATTTTCGCAATAAAACAATCGCAATATAAACGTCGACTTTTATTAACGTTAATTAAATGGAACGTATAATTTAGACAGTTTTAGTTTGTCAGGTTTTCTCTGGAGGCGGCGCAGAACGTTCCGTGTAGCCATGATCGAATGTAGAGCCAGATTTTGTCAACTTGACGGCAATATCGTTGTATCTCAAGCTGAACGAAACAATTTACAATAAAATAATTCTGTATTAGGTTTTAAAGGACTGAAACTTTATTAAGTTTGTGAACTTTATAAAGTTTCAGTCTGGAGGCCGCCCAGAACATTTGCTGTCATACGGCGTGCATATAAAAATTGCGGTGTACTGACTGAAAACAGACACCCGAATATAAAGATAAAATCGGTATATTTTTGAAACGGCTGCATGTATCAGTTGAAATGTATTTTTAAGCTATCCTTAGTTAGCATAAGGAATATTCAATGAAAAGAATAGCCAGTTATTTCAACTAGATTTGTTTACTAGTATCATCTGTTAGCCGAGTCGAACACACATATGTCACCTTATACGCCGCCATATGTACCCAGACACTTGTAGCGGACATAATGGAGCATTTCCACTAAACGAGTTGACCTATTCAGGCTTCACAGTTTCGTGGTATTCTTAGTCTGCTCGCAACCGGACTGATATCAAAGCAGTAAATTGTATCATTGTTCGGCTTTTCATGTCATTTTGTCATGCATCAGTAAATTGCGCGCGTGGCAGGACTTGTTGAAGCGGCGTCATCTTGCCGCAAACTCAAAACAGACTCAGACCTTTGCGTAGAAATTAAAATATCTCATCAACGCACGCTGCTAAAATCTTTCAACCCGTTCATCGTTAGTATTAGATTCATCAAATGATTCGAAATTTATTCATCTTTCCGGTTTAGTTTTCAATACAGAACGAGCAAAGGCGAACAACATTATAATGGTACATTAATCCGCCAGTCATTAAATTAACAACGTCGTCTTAATTTGATAATAAAACTATATACCTAGCCTGCGCACAACCGTAAACACAGGCTATAAACTATCCCTAATCCGTCGACTAACAAAATTTCTGACCAACTACACAGGATGCAGAAAAGTACGATTGTGCAGGTTTATTTAAAATACCTTCTCATCAACCTATACAGGGTGTATAAAAAAAACTGAACAGATTTGAAATTGCTCTCCATTTCGCAAAACACCTATTTGTATCCGGTTTTTTATATATATATATAGCTTCTTTGGGTACTTATAATGTAGAATAATGAAAAAAATTTCTTGAACTCAAATTTTGTGAACCAGGGGGGGGTGTCTTTTCCAACAAACTAAAAATGGCTCGCGCACAAAATTTAAAATTGTAATCATATTTTGAGTTAATAGATGAAAAATTTGTCAGGTTTTTAATTACTGTACAAAATTTCAGAAAATTTGGTTTAGTTTAAGCCCTTTAACTATTCACGCAAAGTTACATTTTTCCTAAAAATCAACTATTTGCATGCTTAATAGATGGAAACTTTGTTTGGTTGTTAATTACTGCACAAAATTTCCGTAGACAATTTGGTTTAGTTTAAGCCCCTTTAACTATTCATTTTATTCTAAAAACTCAGCCTTTCGCATGCTTAATTAATGCCTTTACCTAATTTGCATATTGCTAACATATGTAAATTAGGCAAAGGCATTAATTAACTCAAAATATGATTACAACCTTTAAATTTTGTGCGCGAGCCATTTTTAGTTTGTTGGAAAAGACACCCCCCCCCCCTGGTTCACAAAATTTGAGTTCAAGAAATTTTTTTCATTATTCTACATTATAAGTACCCAAAGAAGCACTATATATATATATATATATATATATATATATATATATATATATATATATATATATATATATATATATATATATATATATATATATATATATAAACCGGATACAAATAGATGTTTTGCGAGATTGAGAGCAATTTCAAATCTGTTCAGTTTTTTTTTATACACCGTGTATATCACATAGTTTCATCCAAGTTTCATCACGATAAAAATTATGTTGATTTTAAAATTTTTTCGATAATATCATGCCCACTACTTCATGTAATTCAAACATTGTATTACACTGACTGAAAGGCATGATATTATCGAAAATATAAAAATCAGCCAATTTTGATCCTTTTATGACTTTGTCTGCGGATTGTTGTGATATAAATATGGGATATTGGTTGATGACTAGGTATATATAAAACATTAGGATGTTAGGGTTGGTTATCCAAGTGAGAATATATACATTTTAAGACCTAACCAGGAACGATTGCCGCGAAAAATGCAGCACAAGGTCCTCTGGTAGGAATTGAACCTACGGCCCTGCGATTCCGGTGCAGCGCTCTAACCAACTGAGCTACAGAGGCCAGCTGTTGAGCTGTAACCGTAAGTTCGTGTATATATAGGTAATCGGGTGTGCGGGTTGTGATAAGGTGGACTTGAATAACTTAGATTCTTGCACTTCACTTGTTCAAGTCCACCTTGTCACAACAGCTGGCCTCTGTAGCTCAGTTGGTTAGAGCGCTGCACCGGAATCGCAAGGCCGTAGGTTCAATTCCTACCAGAGGACATTGTGCTGCATTTTTTGCAGTCGTTCCTGGTTAGGTCTTAAAATGTATATATTCTCACTTGGATTACAAACCCTAACATCCTAATATTAATTCCACCAAGTGAAGTGCAAGAATCTAAGTTGTTCAAGTCCACCTTATCACAACCCGCACACCCGATCACCTATATATACACGAACTTACGGTTACAGCTCAATAGCTGGCCTCTGTAGCTCAGTTTGTTAGAGCGCTGCACCGGAATCGCAGGGCCGTAGGTTCAATTCATACCAGAGGTCCTTGTGCTGCATTTTTCGCAGTCGTTCCTGGTTAGGTCTTAAAATGTATATATTCTCACTTGGATTACCAACCCTAACAACCTAATATTAATTCCACCAAGTGAAGTGCAAGAATCTAAGTTATTCAAGTCCATCCTATATATAAAACACAATCGTACTTTTCTGCCCCTGTGCAACTACGTTTTGTGCAACAAAATCATGTAGTTTCCTAATTACAATTAAGGATTTATGTAACAGTAGTTAACGCTAACTTTTGTTAAATTTATCTTGCGTGTTTAATTTAAACACAAAATGTCAAAATGACATGAAGTAAACGGGTTAACGGCCACTGACGAGTATTTTGAACTTGATCAAGGACTCACATTTAACTCAAAATATTGAAAAATAAACACACAGTAAATCAAGAGTAGTATACAGAAGAGGGATCCTCGAGCGGGTGATCCTCGAGCGGATACTCAAAACATCGATGCTCCACTTGTATTTTTCATGTGGTTGTATACATACCGTTGCTGTATGCAGTCATGATGGCTAGGCAGACATCAGGTTATGGAGTCATGAGAACTAGTAATTGGACATGCGCAGAGGACATGCGCTTTGGCGCGCTTTTGTTGTGTTGTTATGAATGCGGTTCACATTTGTTGATCGAAAATACTTTTCAAATAAATATTTTACGACTTATTTGCGTGAGTTAACGCTGGTGGCAGAATGGCATCACCGAAGACTGCAACCTCGCAAGCCAGGCTCTCTACTTCCGCTTCCCTCCCAAACACGCCCCAACCTGACTTGCGAGGTTGCGAAAACTGTTCTCCCAGACAAAAGGGAGACATTGGCCAATTTTTCGCTGTATTTTGGACGGATGATGTAAAGGCTTTTACCTCCAGCAATAGGAATCTGTACGGTTGAGTCACAAAGAACTTTCCGGTGCTTTGCATGAAAGAAAGGTAGGAGGGGGCCTTGCATTATTAAAATACAAGAAAGTCTTTAATGGCCATGATAGATGCTGGAAGAGTTGAAAGACACTACATTTCTATATTTCAGGGCTGAAATTAGAATATGAAAGGACACATAGTCCTCCCAAAGTTCACCCCTTGCCTGATGGTTCAAATACCGAAAATAGAAATGAAAGATTGAAGCAAGAAGGAGCCCTGACATTCTATAATAAGAGAAAGAATTAGAATGTATTCAGGGCCGGCGCTAGAGGGGGACGAGGGTGGTGGTGGGGGGGGGGGGCTGGAACACTCTGTATGTATTCCTATTGAAGTCCAGGAGAACGAATGAAAATGCACACAGTGTAAACAGTAAGTAGTTGCAAAGGTTATCATGTTAAAGCTACTGTAAACAATGTTGAGACAAACTTCCTTATAGATACTGGTGCAGAAGTAAGTCTTATTTCTGCAGATATACCAGGTATAATTATTAAAGAATCTCAAGTACATCCAGTTTCAATAACTCATCAGTCGATTGGGATTAAAGGTGAGACTAATGTATCTTTCAAATTGGAGAGTTTAAATACCACCTAGAAGTTCCTGGTTGCTGAAAATTTGACATAGATAATAGATACAAAATAAGTTCCAATCGTAAAGGAAGATAATTCATGCCCAGTAATTGTAATGTACTGTAGAACTTCAGGCCAGACACCAGATAGTGATTCCAATGCGTACTAAGGATAGGACCAGCCGGGATGGAATTTTCGAGCCCAGTAAGACACCTGGTAGGGTGTTGCTAACAAAAGCTGTTGTGCAGCCAAGTTAAAGTCGGTGGTCGGTGTTTTCTTTGGTTGAGGCAGTAAATACATTATTTAAGAATGAAAAAATTGGGACAGTATCGAATGTTGAAGATTTTTCGAACACTACCCATGACTACCAGATTTAGAATGACCAACATCCAGCTGTTTCTTCCATTCAGACTGAGAATATTGATTTTCTGCATGAGATTGGGGTGGATTTAAGCTAGAATGATCTAAAGAGACATGAAAGGGAGCAACTTGAGAAACTCCTCCTTTCCTATTCAGATGTTTTCTCCAAAAACTCGACTTACTGTAGGGACATGTAAGTTAGGGACGAAACATCAAATACACCTGAAACGTAGGTACTGTGCCCGTGAAACAATCATTTCGCCGAGTTACATTTGCTTGCCAAAAGAGGTAAAAAATGATCTGAAAAATATGCTAAAGGATGGAATAATAGAATAGTCATGTTCTGAGTGGGCGAGCCCCTTAGTTTCCGTTAGGAAGTCATCAAGAAACTTGCGGATATGTGTTGATTATCGAAACTTAAGCGAGACGTACTGCAATTTTAACAAGTTACCCATTGCCCAACCTAACAGAAACATTGGATCGGTTGCCCGGAGGATTTTATTTCACATCGGTAGATATGGTATTCGGGGATCATTAGGTTGAAGTTGCCGATGAAGACAAAGAGAAAACTGCGTTTATATCGCTATATCATTATGGACTATACCAGTACAGTAGGATGCCTACGAGCTTGCAAGGGCACCAGCAACCTTTCAACTTGTTGTCGTGGATATTGTCCAAGTACTGGATACAGAGGATATCATGACGTATTTTGCCGATGTTATCTGCATGTTTTCACGCTACTTGTGACAAGCATTTGGAAGGAATCCGAAAATTGCCTGACATAGTAAAGCGAGCTGGGTTTAAATTATACGGCTAAGAAGTGTCAATTTGCTAATTTAAAGGTTTTGTAAAATTCCTGGGTTATATACATATTGACCAACTAGTGTTAGACCACTAGCTGAGAAACTTAATATTATCAGAAATGGGAAGGCTCCTGAGAGTGAAGATGAATTGCGCCAGTTTCTTGGATGTGTTTGAACTATTGAAAGAACTGTTATGCTCTCTTCGGTGACGTTGAGACTCTACAGCTAGCGTGTATGTTGGTTCTCTGTGACATGCGATGCATTAGACTACGCTGTTGGTTGCTACCTGGAACAGGCTGATAAATCTCGCCAAAAGCGCCAGTTGCCTTATGGAGAAGGAAACCACATAAAACAGAAATTAACTGCTGCACGGCGGAGAAAGAATGTTTGGCAGTTATTAAGGCACAGAAGGGGTATCGTTCGTACCTGGTATAGGGAGCCAGCTTGATTTATACACTGATTATCAATCTCTGGAATGGCTGCTAACTCGCACGAAAGAACATAGTGGTCGGCTATAGCGATGGTTGGACAAAATCCTTGAGTTTCAGTATTAAGTTAAGGATATCCCAGGATGGAACAATAGAGTGGCGGATGTCTTAAGCAGAATTCGAAATGTTGCAACCCGAGAGCCAACACCGTGGAACTTAGGGCGCTTTCCATTAACACGGCCAGACCGGTTAAAAAGGTCATGTTGTTTAATGGAACAGAAAACGTTTGGGCTTCGGACCTATCTGACCGGAAAATTTTAAAAAATTAGAATGATGTCCATTTTTGCTAGATATTTGAGAAACTCATAGATCAGTTCTTTCCATTGATACAGAGACAAAAATTCGGGTCTGACCAGTCAGTACATTCGTCAGCAACAAGAAGCCTGTTCAAAGATAAACCAACTGAAACTCCATGTTACAATTCGGTTCACAAAGAATAAAAACCATGAACATGGAATTAAAAGCATTTGAAAACGCACTAATGGAAACACTTAAATAATGATTCCCCGTAATCTGATTCCGAGAGTACTAGGGATCGAAGATGCACAATGATTTGGGACAGTTCGGATTCAAGAAGACCTCCAAAAGACCAAAGATAAGTTTTTCTGGCCACAAATGGCATCTGAAATTGAGGATTGGTGCAGAAGGTGCAAAGCGTGTCAGCGTAGAAGGAATCCAGTACCGACCCAAGAGCGCCACTCCAATCAATTTCTACATGCCGCCCGGGAGAATTGTTTCGCGCAGATACCGTTATTGTTTAGTAAATGGTCGACCACTTTACAAAGTGGTTAGAATTATTTCCACTAAGAAATCAGAAGCAGAAACAACATATTGCGAAGAAAGTTTTTCATGGTTAATTCTATTCCACGACATGCGGCACCGGAACAACTTCATCATTACCAAGTATATAAATAAAGCTTCGAGCGGGTCAGGATTTTTAATTTTTTGATTGGATTTAACGTGACAAAATAAAATAAGAAATTTTCTAAACATTTGCCGCTGGGATTTGCGTTTTATTGCCTAGTTTTAAAGTTTATATCGACATTCGAACAACGGCGTATTAAAAGCGCGTAAATTCAAATGCCGATAATTTTAGAACTAGGCAATAAAACGCAAATCCTAGCGGCAAATTTTTAGAATATTTCTTATTTTACCTTGTCACGTTAAATCCAATAAAAAATTAAAAATCCTGATTCCCTCGAAGCTTTATTTAAGACCCTATATTTTATGTTCAAATGTATGTTTTTACCGGAAATGGGCTTTCTGTGCTCGCAGGGAAACTACCTACAATAACCAATTACGCATTCTCATTGGCTTAGAGCGAAAATGGCAATAATTGCATTGATTGGTCGACAACGAAATTCCTCCTTGTTTTCCAATACAGTATAACACGAGGTATTAGGTAAGTGAAATTGTTTTAACCAACGAATTTAATTATTCGAAGATCTAGATCACCTGATTATATAAACTTTTGAAGGAAAAATATAAAATACTTTTTAATTATCCGGGTTTTTTTTGGCCGGTGGAAATCTAGGGCCGGGGGCAAATGCCCCTTTTGCCCCTTAGATAATCGGGCACTGGCAGTGCGCTGATTATTAAGTCATATGATTCCACAGTCATCTACAGCTATGAAATCATCTGGCTATGTAGTCATCTACTGCAGCTAAAGAATAATCTGTTTTGACTGTTTATGCAAACATCTGGCTATGAAGACGCATAACTACGCAGTCAGTTGATATTTATAGCTGAAGTAGGCTATCAGCAGTGGGAAGAAAGTATACAACAGCAAACTTTAACTTTATTCTTTTCCAAAATTAAAAACGTTATGTTTCTGTAACGTACGTTGCACGTCATATTAAGCCTGATTTCCATATGGTCATATCATGCTCGTAAACATAGTGTCACGACTTTCTCAACGGCCAGCTTATAATAGTTTATACCTGTAAACCACATATTATGACATACATATCATAAGTATTCTCTAGTTATTATTTTCAGTTTCAAGGTGCTAATTTTCGGATTGTGTTTTTTGTCTAACTTATTCTTTTTGAAATTGTCGGCTTGGATACTGGCTTAAGATAGCATATGATTATTTAACCATTATTCGCCGAAAGCGAGGTGATTATCGGGGAATATTCACCAAGACAAAATTGAGGTATTTGGTACTGAATTTATTTTAATTTCTCTTATTTCTTTATTAGTAAACTTCCACAAAATTGCTATCCGCCATTTTCAAAATTTCGGTTTTGCTATATTCACCTGTAGGTGAACATAACATCTTAGTATTTTTGCACAAGTGAACATAACAAATCCTACAAGGTGATTGGTCAAATTTGACGTATTAATCTGTGATATTCACCTACAGGTGAATATAACAAAATCGAAATTTTCAAAATGGGGGGGTAAGGGGGGGGGGGATGGTCACTCTCGTCACGAAATCACGAAGATCATTTTTCGATTTCACGAGTCACGGAAAACAAAATTTCATTTTCACGATTTTTAGAAACACAGAAGCGTAACAAAGTCTGTAACCATTTAACGATTTTCTATACAGCAGAAATCGATGTTAACACAAACACATTTTACTGACTTTAACATTAGAGCTTTTAAAGGACTTTAGCGGATTGATTAATATGAACGTTCTACTGAAAAGTTTCCTGACAACGTAGTGTTTTTCCACTGTCATGTGGCAGTGAATTATTCAGTTGTACTAAGTTCTGCTATAATCAGGCATTCTTTCTCTCTGGCTCCTCCCTAGTATTAATGCCCTCGGTTTATTTTAAGATTGAAAAATGGCAACAGCTGTTGTGCCTGGTTCTGGTGCTGCAACTTTGACCAGGAACATATCTAATGAAGAACGAAGATGGATGGTTATTGGTATATGTCTCAACAAAGTTTTGACACCTACACTAAGAGATGTCCTCAGTGTTGAAATACCTAAATGTCAGACCTTGGTTAAACATCCTATAGAAATTGATAAGCAAACGTTTGGAAAGTTTGTGAAAAACCTGCTGCCATCAACCATAAAGTTGAACTATGACAGTGTCAACAACAATGCTGTGCACAAGTCTGCAAAGTTATATGATTATGCTGTAAAAGACCCTTTGTCTTTGGCGAAATTGTTTGTGAAACCTTTCATGGCAAGTTTCACTGGTTTTGACCACACCATGGATACCTCTGCTGCTCTGTCAGTAATGTGTGAAGCACAACCATTCATTGCTTGTAGTGCTGCTGTTTATGCAAGGAAGATCCGGTCCGATATTAGAAATGAATGGGCACATTGCGATTTTTCACATTGGACCAAACCAATTTTCCAAACCGCTTTGAACGACATTGAATCCTTAGTCAGAACTCTAGGTTTGACAACAATGGAAGAGAAAATTGTTCTTGATGAAATTGATAAGTGGAGGAACAATGGTAAGTACCGATAATTCAACCTGTTGTTGTTTATTTTATATAACTAGAAAATACAGGCATGAAGAAATCCCTCGCCTTGCTGACAAAACCATTGTATTTCCCGAACATTTAAAAACAGAGTAGAGACATACAGAACTGTAACTGACCGTCGTAAACACTGCGGAAAATTACGTTTTCATGCACCCACCTTTTTTTCAGGCGACCGAGCAAAAAATGATCAACTGCGTGCGCTCGGCAGGTTCCGCGAGCAGTTAAAGCGAGCCGCCATCCAATGGGATGCATGCATCTAGTGACTTGTATATGTATTTCCTCTGTGATTTAAAGTAGTTGTCATGGTAACACGATAATTTTGTTAAGAATATTTTTACAAATGAAAAATCCCCTAAAAATATCACTTTCAATTACAAAATTATCAATTCCCCAAACATATATATGTTAGGTATGTTATTATACATATAAGCTTAAATTTTAGGTAAAATTCAAACTCAATGGCTTCGCAAGACGTTTAAAATGTTTTTTATAAAACTATAAAACTGCCTAGTTTAAAGGCTTTATCGAAAAACTTTGAGTTTGAAATAAAATGATTTCAAATTCTCGCATTCAAACAACTTGCTTTTTTTATTTAAAAATTTTAATATAATAAAAAAGTGTAATCAATGAAGAAACACTGAAATTATATGATGTCTTTTTCATTTAAATACACGCAACGATCAGCTCTTAAAGCAATTATAAAGCGAACAATACATCAGTATTTAAAACAATTTAAACCTACCTTCGTTAAGGTTGGCGCCTTTACTCCCTTCTTTTAGCAATTCTTTCGCCTTTATTTTCTTAAAAAGCTTTTAAAATTCACAAAATCTTGCAAAACTGAAATATATTTGCAAGAAATCATCAAATCAAGAAATATTTGCTATTTCCCTGTCGTCATACAGTCGTTATAATGCAAATTTTAAATTTGACCAATCAGTGTTCGCTATTCATGACAGTCCGCCATATTTTCGAGATCAGTGAGGATGACCACCAACCGTTGGTCACCCACGCCCACGATCATTGATGAACTTCAGACTTCGCTAATGCTTTCGTTCTCCCGGATGAAAATAGCCGGGCGGAATTAGTTCCCTCGCCCCGGGGTTACGCCCAGAACGGCGCTCCGCGCCGTTGGCTCGGGGATCAGAGATCGAAGGTTGATTTTAAGATTGAACCAGTGGGTTGTCTTTGATGTGAATTGACGTTTCAGCTCATATCTACTGTGCTCTCACACCAGACAATTAAGTTGAAAAGTTTGCTTGACCACAGTGAGAATGGATCCCTCGACCTGTCCAGTCACGCATGCTGTACGCGATAAACTTTATAAAGAAAAGATAATATAAAACGTCACAGCACGGCTAACAAGCGGATTCGGTCATGTCAAATAATGGTAATGTTAGGATAGCAGCGCAGCTGACTGCAGAGGAGAGTGGGCAGTACGTCTCTCTGAGGCACCACCCCATAGAAAACCTGCACCCCTTCTTGCAGATGAGGCTAGATCCACTCCTGGACTAGATTATCCCTTTATGAAGAAAACAATAATAACAAAAGTTAGTTCATTTATGTATTTAACATAGTATTTGGTCACCGAATTTACCGAAATTTTGCATATAAATACTAATAATTAAATAGAAAACTGTGCTAGGCTGTCTTGCAACGTACAACGGTTCAAAACTTAGGTGGCCCTTGAACCTGTTTATTGGAGTATATTCCGTTAAAGTGCGTATGACACGAAATTTCACCCCAAATGTTTATGATCGCGTTGTAAAGATCACTTAAAATGACTTTATAATTTCTTTGATAGAATTTTGGTAACTTGCTTCCTTTGCAAGATATTCAACCTTGTTTCATATGCTAATATCACCGGTGTGACATCACATCGCATAATGACATTTGGAAAACGCAATATTTTACCTTGATAAAGTATTTTTACAAACAAATACAGAGGGTTAATTACCAGTTATGAAATTAATACATATACAAGGGCAATTTTAAGTTGTTTAGATACGTATTCGTCAAGAAAACTATACTTGATGTGATGAATACTATTATGTGATGTGATGTCACACCGGTGATATTTGCATATGAAACAAAGTTGAATATCTTGAAAAGGGAGCAAGTTACCAAAATTCTATAAAAGTAATTAATAAGTCATTTTAAGTGATCTTTACAATGCAACCATAAACTTTGGGGTGAAATTTCGT